GGTCTTTGGCATCGCTGGTGTGCGCGCTGGTCATTGCGTCTGGTGGCATCTCGGCCCCTTGCGCGCGCAACTGGATCATCGTTTGGACCATCGCGGCCTGCTGAAACTGTTTTTGCATCGTATGCATGTGATTGCCCTGGTAATGTATGCGCGAAGTAAGCTTCTGACCGTGCTGCTCGATGAGTTTGGTTTGCGTCCTCTGCGTGCTACGAAGCCCACTGCGCTAGCAAATCCACTCCACTTCTATCGTCTGTGTACTGCGGCAGCTGATGCTTGGCCGACTCAACCGCCGCCGCCGCATGAATGTCGTTGTTGCACTTGCGCGCGGCCTTGGCACTCATGATCGTCAGCTGCATGCTGTGTTTTGCCTCCGACGGGGTCGAGGAGAGTGGCGGTGGCAGTGGCCAATGTCCACGTGGATATATAGCTTCCTCCTCCTCCTCCTCCTCCTCCTCCTCCTCCTCCTCCTCCTCCTCCTCCTCCTCCTCCTCCTCCCCCTCCCCCTCCTTTTCCTTTCCCTCCTCCTCCTCCTCCTCCTCCTCCTCCTCCTCCTCCCTCTCCCTCCCCCTCCCCCTTCTCCTCCTCCTCCTCCCCCTCCTCCTCCTCCTCCTCCTCCTCCCAATGGGGTTCCACTTCCCATAGTCGAGTCGGCATACTCCCTCCCCCCAAGGTCGGTATTGATCCACCCACCATCACGGCACCTGGCAGCAACAAAGTCTCGAGAAACTAGTGTTGCCCCGAAGCCAGAGCCGGTTATAGTTTCCACCTGTCGTAGGCGGCGGCGGTGGAGTAGCAAGAGGTAGTCGTGGCGCACCAACATGTTGAAATGATCCTGCCACGTGCAAATCCGCATCCCCTGCTCCCAACAGCCGAGTGGTGGTCTCGAGCTGCTCTATCTCGTCCACGATACCTTTTTTTTGTGTTTGTATATTATTATGTTGTCAAGTTGCAGTGCTTCGACTCGCTGCTGCTTCATGTTCGCCTTTGGTTTTTGGCTAGAACAATTATCGCAACGGACATGCTGCCCAGAAACGTGTGTCCTTAGTTTATCAAAGAACTCTCTTTCTCCGCCTGATTGGCGGCTTTCCTCAAGTTTGCCATGGCTCTGGCCATTTTTGCCAATTTGTACATCAGTCTGCGCATCCCGCTCATCTATATCATCCATCTGCTGTCGTTCTCTGGCATCGTGTCGGAACGGTGTTCGATCTGGAAGGTCCACGCCACATATTGTCATGGGCGAAGTGCGCCCCACGATCTTATCTACATATGGATGCGAAATTCTCTCCTCTCTCTGGTTCTGTGGCATCCGACTGTCGTTCCTGGGACGTGGGTCTCTCTTTTCTTGGCGCGTGTCCCTCTGCATACGTCCTGGCTTGACTGCACCACATTCGCGTTAGTCGTACCGCTCGTTGTTCCAAACGCTTCAGTGGCACGTCTAAGGATACATTTGTTGGCCTCTTGGCATCTGTCGGCGATGGTGCGACCAGAGGGTAGCAATCGGATCGTTGGTCGAAGCAAGCAATCGTGCACTATGTCTATGCTTTCTTAGACGCCTGTGCCACGCAAGCTCAGTCGCGGCCGTATTGTAAGAGGAGCGCGGATCTACATCAAACCCACCTGGGATCAACTCCCTCGCCTTCGAGAAGGCAACGCCTCTCATCGATCTCGCTCCGTCCTTCTTCCAGACAGCTCCTCCTCGTCGCACCCCGGGGCCGGTCGAACGGGCGGGCAGGGCGTTTCGCCTGAGACCTCTCACCGCTCGTGACCCTGATGCTTGAACATGGACAGCCGTTTCACCTATGGTCGGGGATGGACAGACCCCCCTTCAGCAAAACGTGGTTTAGTGAAAACGACCTCGGGCCCAAACCTGGCGGGCGCACGCCTGGAAAATAACGGCCGCGGCGCCCTCTCGAGAACCGAGAACGGACAATTCACTAATCGACGCGTCAGGGTAGGAGGTCTATCCACCCCCGATATGGAGGGCGTGTGGTTTTCAGCATGTGGCCAGCGCCGCGCACACTTGCCAACACATTGCCAGGGCTTGGCGGATTGGCAGCGGGCAATTTTCAAAATGTGGCTCTCGCCTTCCCGCGTTAAGCGCCGCGCATACTCGCCTTTTGGAATCATTGCAGGGATTTCGCGGATTGAGGGCGGCTGGTTTTCAAAAGGTGGCTCTCGCCGTAGCGCCTCGTTTCCAACGGCTGCTACCCCTTCACAGGTTTAGGGCGGCTTCGCTCCAAAATGTGGCTCTCGCCTTAGAGGCGCGCGCATTCGGTTCAAACGCTTGCAAGAGCTTCGCTGATTCCCATGGTTAACGTAGCAGAAATAATGTCTTGGAACGGTTTAGGCTTGTCAAGGCGCAGCCGTTACTTCGATCCGCAGTGCTGAAATCCTAGGAATCGTCTGGTACGATTCAGGGTCGCCAGGACGTTACGATCAGGTCAACTCGTGGCGTTGAAATCCTGAGAACGGTGTTTTAGCACGCTTCAAGATGTTCGCACGGTTGCTCCCAACGGGGCGATTCCCTCAGTGGAAATGACCCCTTGTAGGATCCGTTAGGATGAAACTTGGAGGGGGGGGTGTCTTTCGACATCGTTGACGAGTCTTGGGTTTGCGCAAATCCTTTTTCCTCCTCCTCCTCTCCCTTCTCTCTGTCCGCCCCAGTTCCTTACGGGTCACCCCTTGTCTTCCACGCCACCAGGCGTCTCGGTAGGGCGGGCTGGGCGTTTCCCCTGCCCGTCACCTCTGACAATCGCACGGATGAACACCCGAATGGCTCTCATCCTGCGGCACGCTTGCCGTACGAGCCGCAATTCTTCTGCAGGGCGGCCAATGTAGGGAACCGAACTCTATACACCGACGCTTTTTTCCGGCCCTGCACTGAAACTCGTACAGGAAAGCGGATCCTGGTGTATACGGGATGCTGGTGTATACATTTCCGTCATTTCCCCAGGACATCGGGGGAACAACTATACACCACACCACCCCGACGTCGTCCCAGATCCTCAAAAAGTCCAGGGATTGAAAAACAGCACGACACTGGTAATGTACATGTTCCAGTTTCCGACAATGTTCAGAATGCGGCTCTCGCCTCCGCGCTGCGCACCCCCCGTCTGGCACGCTTCACGCTCTTGCGCGGACGGGCAGGGTGGGCGGCTCTCACGATGTGTGTGGTTCTCGCCTTCGCTTGCCGTGCCCTCGCCGTGCAGCCGTCCAACAACTGCACAGACGGAGAGCGAGTCCCCTTCAGAGCGGAGCCCTCGCTTTACAACAATCCCACGACACTTCTCCTCGAACCAGGACATAAGAGAACCGTGCGCTGAGTAAGCGCACGGAAGGCGGATGCTCTTCCACGCGCGCGTCTCGGTCAAGACGTTCTCGAACGCTGTGACCGAGCGCCCTCCTCCTCCTCCTCCCCCCCCCTCCTCCTCCTCCTCCTCCTCCTCCTCCTCCTCCTCCTCCTCCTCCTCCTCCTCCTCCTCCTCCTGCAACATCGTGCAACGCCTGTGCGGGAGAAGGCGTTCCACACAGGGGGCCTTCGCTGGACACGTCCCCTCGCGCCGTGATGCTACCCCCGCTGCAGCTCTGAGGGCGACTCCAGATTTCGTACGGCAGGTTCGTGTCGTGGCGACCCCAGCGTTGGTTTTTGACACGGCGGGAATTGTTCAACCTTGAACGATCGGCCGTTTCCGAAACGCCACATCGTTGAACATCGATCGATTCTGGGTCGCCGTCGGCGTTCAAAGTTGAACTCCGGCGGCGGGGTCGCCGCTGGTCGACACGACGCGAACCTACCGTAATCAAGGGAGGGGGGTCTCATTTCGGGGGGGGGGTCTTTTCCAAGCTATCTTGGAGGGCCTGGGGGGGGTCTGGGGACGATGCTCTGGAGGGTTCTCCCACGACGGGGGGGTCTGAAATGGCTTGTCTTGGAGGGTCAAGACCCCCTCCCTTTTATTACGAAATCTGGAGTACCAAAGAAGGAGGCGGCGCCTCGTCATCCTCGCCCGCACGGCAGGCCCTTTGGGGCCGCTGGTCTCGCACGAGGAGTGCCTCCCTTCTGCTCGAGACGAAGGAGGACGTGTTGCAGCACCGCTGACGCCTCGCAGATCTGTTCCGGCCCTCCTCTGCGTCCCGTCCCCTTCGCACTCCTCGCGCGACTTCCGTCTCCTCCGCCTCCCCCCCCCGTGGGATCACGACACATTGCTGCGCAGGCGCGCAAGCAGACAGCGCTGCGCGTAGGGCGAGGTCTGGGGCTCCAGCACACCCGTGTGGTTACGGGCGTGGTGACCTCGGAATCCCCCGCGACCTCACCCCGCTCGACCCGCCACCGCACGGCTTTGGGACCTCGAAGGCTCCAGTCGCCCGAGAGGTCCTCGGAGAACGACCCGAGTCCCAAAACCGCATGGCTTGCCCACCGCTCAGACATCCATTCCCCGTGCATTTTTCGGCTTTGTGCGGCCCAAAAGGCTCCCCTCGATGGTCCTCGCCGAGGACAAAACGCACGCGTCCGAGCGATGCCCAACACTGGCTCACCACGCGGTGGGGTCACCACGCGGGCCGCTTGGGGGCCCCCCCCCGGCGGGGAGGACGGGCCCCCCCCACGCCCCCCCCCGGAGGCTCGGCGCGCTGGAGCCGGAAGGCGACGTGCTGGCTGGAGGGGCCGCGGAGGCCTCGGAGCCGGTCTGCGTCGGGGCCGGCGGGGCCGTGGAGCTCGCGGGGGGCGGGGGGGGCGCGGAGGTCGTGGGGCCGGCCGGGGGCGGGGCCGCGGCGGGGGCCGTGGAGCTCGCGGGGGGCAGGGGGCCAGAGGGGGGCCAGGGGGAGGGGGGGAGGGAGGGCCGGGGAGCCGGTGGCTTCACAGGCGTGGGCACACGAGCTTCGGCAGGCCCGTGCAGCTTCCTCGCAGCGGCGCTGCCGAGCGCCCCAGCGGCGCCTCCGGCTCGGGCGTCTCCAGCGCCGACCCGAGAAGTCCGCGCGGGCCTCCGAAAGTCCATGCCTGGTCGTTACTTGCTCCCCGAGGAGGGGGAGGGGGGGGAGGGGGAAGGAGGGGGGGAGGAGGCGGAGCTCGTCGGCGCCGCGGGGGCAGGCGGCGTCGGCGGGGCGACCGCGTCGGCGGTCCCCGGTGACGGTGACGGCGTGGGGGCGTCCGTGCCGCCCACGGAGATGTTGGCAATGTGCGCCGGGCGCGTGCGCCACTCTGGGCAGACCGCCGGCGCGATGCCCACCTTCCTGCGCGCCATGTCGAACAGTATGTCCTGGTGCTGCATCCACGAGGCACCCAACGTTGTGCTGAGCGTGGTGCCGTCGTCGGCAAAGGCGTAGCAATACTTGGAAGACAGGCTCTTCCGATAGAGGTATGCTCTTGGCACCCATCTGGTCACCGTGCTCTCAAATATGACCTCGATGTCGGGAAAGCGCTCGAGTCCAGGTGTGCCGTCAACGACCTCCCAACATATGCCCGTCTGGTAGGCACCGCAGCCCTCGTGCCTCGCACAGTAATCCTCAATGGCGTATCTGAGGGCCATGTACACGTTGTGATTCAGGTATGTGTACGTCGTGCCGCTGTCTATGATCGTTCGCCCATGAGGCACCTGGATCTCGAACCCATCCACCCGCATCATGGTGAATTCAACTCCGTAATCCGCCGATCCCTGTTTGCCATGGGATGCGATAAGTAGGATGAGGGGTCCAAAACTGTGCGGTGACAGATTTTGCGTTGACCTCGGGCGAACCTGGAGGCTCCAGTCGCCCGAGACATCATCAGAGACCGACTGAAGCGCCAAACCCGTTCGGTCACCCCGAATCCCCACAGACTCACCAATTTGGACGCCCGACATGGCTTTGGAAAAAATGGGCAGGACGGTGCGATGCCCAGGAACAAGTTGACCCAAACCGACAGCGACCGCTGTTGGGCAGGCGACCCTCAGTCTCAAGTGGGCAACGTCCGCGGCGACACCGACAGCGAGTCCTGCTTTAAATGTAAAGGAAATGCCGTCGGTCGTCGTACCCATTCTGTTCGTAGCCATGCCGATCTTACCGGATCACGCGGATGGCGAACGGTGTGACGTGCGTGCCTGTCCGTGTTTGTTTCACGGCAGTGGGCGATGATGCCAGGGCTGTTTCTAGATGGCATCAGAGATTCCAAGATGGTTCCACAAATCACACGTTGGCCTCCACAATGCTTCCAAGAGGCCCCAAATCCCACCAAAATGGCTCCGGATGGCCACGGAGTCTCCCAGGAACGCCCCCGAGAGGCTAAACCTTTGGAACATCAATGTTGGTTGCCTTCTCGCCCTTTCGCTTTCGATGGGCTCAAGGTGCCAAAACGGCATCAAAAACACCCCAAGAGGTCGCATATCAGGCTCAAAAGGGGCACCGGTACTGAGGACACCCCTTCACTCAAAACCAACAACGTTGAAAACCCGTTGGCTGTCTACTGATCTTGTCATCTCGGTGGCATCCTTGGGACGCTTTCGGGCGAACATGTCTCGAATATGGCTCCAGATAGCTCAAGATTGCCTCCAATATTGTACAACATGGTAACATGGTCCAGGATGGCTGAATATTTCCTCCGAGATGTGTCCCAACGCGCCTCAAGACGGATTCAAGTGCCAACGGAGCCTCCAAAGGCTGCTTCCAAGAGGCCCAAATCCTTTTCAAACCAGAAATGCAACACTTGATTTCTGCATTTTCGCTTCTGGGGGCTGAAAGCTAGTCTGGGGACTGAAATATGGCGCGGAGGTGGCCCAAGGGAACCTCAAGATGGGCCTACGAGGGCTACAAGACCGACCCCAAAGCTGCCCCTAGAGAGCTCTGAAAGCAATTGTTGGGGCTCCAACAAAGCAGCGCTGTTGCCCCACCCCATTATTTGATCGATGTCCTCGAATATTGCCCCATGATGACCCCTAAGGCAAGAGAATCCAGAGGGACCCTTGAGGGCCTTAAAAGGCCTCCAAAGATGCTTCAAGAGGACCCAAGTCGGCTGCCACGAGGCTCCCCTACCGAAGGGTAAGGCATAGCTGGTTGACTCAACAGTCTGCTCAATCTGATCCCAAGCTTTGCTTTGACGGCTGGCGCCTCTCACTGTTTCACTGCTTGCCCCTGCACTTCCCCCATAAATGCACATCGTCTGGGCATCGTTTCTGGATGGGACGGTGGGGGTATGCGACACGTCTAGCGTTCCAACGCAAGCTGAGACGCGCCTCTGACCCTGGTTGACCGTCATTGAGCCCAACTTGGATCGGATAACCGAATGCTCCCGGTAATAATCCCCTGGGGATTGCAAAGTTCTGGGTCTGGCGGGGTTTATCAACGATTTTCCCGACGAAGGTGATGATGATGATGATGATGATGATGATGATGCTGATGCTGATGATGATGATGATGATGATGATGATGATGATGATGATCCTGGGCGCTCGTGTAGACTGACCTTGTAGATCTTGGCGCGAGACTGACTCGAGAGATCTCGAGTCTCGTGGCTACAACTTGCCTGCGCAAGAGAGCTTGCCAAGAAACCTCTCTTGCGCACCCATGGTGAGAATCCCATAGCTTTGCCACGCGCTCGTGGTTGCGGAAGCTGAAACGGTGAGACGACCATTGCCATGCTCAGCGTTTTTGATGCTGTTGCTCGTCAACATAAGATGATAACAACTTCGATGCGCAACATTCCCTGGTGATTATCAAGTTCGGCCTCCGCGCCCCTATCCACAATTAAATCCTGTTGACACGGGATTAAAGAAAAACAGGGGAGAAGGGGGGGGGGGACATTGTTATCCGAAAGAGCGTGTTCTACCGCTGCTGGCGGAAAACCCGGGGGGGTCACTACCGGTTCGAACCCTTCCCCCCCCCCTGCCCTCCGGAAAACTGGGGGGGGTCACAACCGGTTCGAACCCCTCCCCCCCCCCACCAGTTCATCATGAAAAGGGGGGGGGTCACTACTGGTTTGAACCCCCCCTAGAAAACCGGTGGGGGGGGGTCACTACCGGTTCGAACCCCCCCCCTCGAAAACCGAGGTGGGGTGCGGACAGTGGTGGGGACGGTGGTGGTGGGGACAGTGGTGAGGGGACAGCGGGACTGTGGTGGGGACAGTTGGACAGTGGTGGGGACGGCAGTGGTGGGGACAGTGGTGAGGATAATGGTGGGAACAGTGGGGACAGTGGACAGTGGTGGGGACGGTGGTGGTGGGGACAGTGGTGTGGGGACAGTGGGAATGAGGTGGAAACAGTGGGACAGTGGAGGGTACAGTGGCGGTGGGGACAGTGGCGAAGGCGGTGGCGAGGACGGCGGTGGGACAATGGGACAGAGGTACAGTGGGGACAGTGGTGGGGACAGTGGGGACAGTGGTGGGAACAGTGGGACAGCTCAGTGGGACAGCGGAGGAGTCAGTGGGACAGTGGGGACAGTGGGGATAGTCGGGCAGTGGTTGGGGCCGTGGAGAAAGTGGGGAGAGTGGAACCGTGGTGGGAACAGTGGTGGGGACAGTGGGGACAGTGCGACAGTGGTGGGGGCACTGGTGGGGACAGGGACGGTGGTGGAACCAGTGGGGACAGTGGTGGTGAGGACAGTGGTGCTGGGAACAACAGTGGGGGATGTGGTGCGGACGGTGGTAGGGACCGGGAGTCGTTTGCTGGCGGTGAGTGGGGGGGGTGGGGAGGGGTTCGAACCGGTAGTGACCCCCCCTCCGGTTTTCGAGGGGGGGTGGGGGTTGAACCGGTATTGACCCCCCCCGGTTTTCGAGGGGGGGGGAGGGGGGGGAGGGGTTAGGGGATGGGGGGGGGTTTGCCGGGGGGGGGAGGGGGGGGGTTCCAGCAAGGGGGGGGGAATTTTCGGAGGGGGGGGGGGGACCCCGGGGTTCCGGAGGAAGAGGGGGGCAATTTTCCATAGGAAAGCGGCGGTGGATCACGCTCTCTCTCTATTATCCGGGGCAGTGGGTTAGGGCTGGATCGCGCTCGCCCGACAGAAGGATGCTCGCGCTTGGGCCGTGCTGCATCACTAGGTCCATCCTGCATGCGCTTTGGGATACTTTGAAGCTGTCTTGGGGCAATGGTGGGCTTCCTGCGGCGACCCTGAGTCTCTGATCGGCACGTCTCGGGACCGTCCTCGCTTTTTCCCCCGCGAGAGCACCAGAGGCAGGCGGGTAGCTGACACAAGGCGCCTCGAATAGCCCGATGCGACGCTGAGACCTATCTCTTGAACAGGACCGGTGTGGTACGAGTCGTTGGAGCCGCCCACGTTCAGCTGCCCGCCCCACTCCGCAAGGCAGATGGTGAACACGCTGCCGTCCACGTGCGAGTCCTGGAAGAGCCTCTGAATCAGCGACGCAGACTGGAGCCCGTAGCGGACCGGGGGTCCCATGCCGAGGATCCCGCTCGCCTTCTGCGTGTAGAAGAGGTTGTTTTCCTCCCCCTCCCCCTCTTCCCTCCCCCTCCCCGCCCCGCGCGCGTTTGTCGTTCGTCTGCCGTCCCTCGTTTCTGTCGTCGTCTCGTGCCGTCCCCCTGCACTCTGCCAATGGGCTCCCATTCGCTTTTCTTTTTTTGTTAGAAACAACTTAAACAAAAACGAGTGCAAGAGGTTGTTCTCCTGAGCTAACCTCTGCGCGCGATGCGGCGGCAGCGGCGGCAAGCGCGGCTGGGGTTTGCTCCGCCCTGGGGAACTCAAAAGGTATCGCCGATGCCGCTACTCCCTGGACCTCTCCTGGGGCGCGTTCCGATGAAAATCTTCCAGCGAATCCAGTGGTGGCGACGAGGGCCTCCCAGGAGGCCCGGAGAGGTGAAAGCGAGGGAATGATAGGGGTAGGGGTACCTTTCCCTCCTCCGACACCGCCCCCCTCCCCGCGCCCCCCGAAAGCCGCGCACCAGCAGGTCAGCCGGTGACAAAGCCGCTCGGCCTGCGAGTCGAGGTCGGGTCTCTGGCGGCCGCTCGGGACGATCTGGGCGCCCCAGGAACGCTGCCGGCGAGGCGCAGCTGCCAGACCGCATGCCGAGGCAGGAAGTCCCCAAGGGCCGACGAACACGAGCGATGGCGTTGCCTAGGCTTGCCCACCGTGGTTGCGTGATCATCGACCTGAGATAAGAACACCACGAAAGGCCACGCTGGAAATCCTTGACAGTTTTCTGTCGGCAGATAGGTACTCCCCATATCCAAAGGATGGGGATCTTGTTACTGATCCGACCGCGCCGACTCCTTACTCACGCACCTCCATCCTCCTCCTCCTCCTCCTCCTCCTCCTCCTCCGCACGATCTTGTATTACGTTGTGGTGTGCTATGAAATGCTGTATTAGTTATGGTATGATGCGTAAATGATATGGTGCGTTTTGCCATGTCATGATATGGTATGCGATGCTATGCTATGATATAGTATGATATGGTATGGTTTGTGATGTTGTGTGGCTATATGCCATGGTATGCTATGCTATGTGCTGCTACCCATATCCAAAGGATGGGTCTTGTTATCACCCCGACCGTGCCGAGAAGTCACCTCCCTCCTCCTTCTCCTCCTCCTCTTCAATTATTGGTATGCCATGACGTGTTATGGTATGATATGGTATCGTATGTCATGCTATGACATGTTATCTCATGACATGTTATGGTATGTTATGTTCTGATGGTGATGGTGATGCTGGTGATGCTGCTGCTGCTGATGATGATGATGATGGTTGTGATGATGATGCTGATGATACTGCTGCTGCTGTTGCCGATTATGATGCTGATGCGGATGATGCTGCTGCTGCTGATGATGATACTGACACGAATTATGATGAGGATAATGATGATCATGATGTTTTGATGATGATTATCGTGAGTATGATGATGATTATGATGATGCTGCTGCTGATGATGGTGATGATCGCGGAGCAACATCAGAGGATTTCTCGAGAGAGGCGCGGGTTTCAGCACCCCCGAGGGGGAGTCGCCAGGGGGTATCCCACTCCTCCGTTCGCGCCAAAATGGTGGGGATGTCTCAAGCGGTTTACCTGTCTGCCAAGGCAACATCCACCAAGTTCGGAGCAGATTTGGATGATGTCTCGAGCGAGGCGCTAATTCTCGCACTCCTGGTGGCCCAGATAGCGAGGATGTCTCGAACGGTTTGCTTGTTTTGCTGGCCAGACTCGTGGGCACGGATCCTCCTCAGGATGCCGCAGGAGGCTCCAGCAGGCTCCGTGAGGCCCGAGGAGGCCACAGGAGGTCCCAGGAGGCGTCAGGAGGCGTCAGGAGGCGTCAGGAGGCCCCAGGAGGCACCAAGAGGCAGCCCCAGGAGGCTCCAGGATGCCCCAGGAGGCCCCAGGAGGCCCCAGGAGGCCACAGGAAGCGAAAGGAGGCACCAGAAGGCCCCGGAAGGCCCCAGGAGCCCCCACGAGGCCCCAGGAGCAGGCCTCAGAAGGCCACAGGAGTGGCTCCAGGTCTGGGTGTTTTACGTATGTTCCTATACAGTTGGCCTCCCCTGGAGTACAAATCCTTGGTGCTTTACGTATGTTTCTATGCAGTGTCCTTCTCCTGTGTATCCACTCCTTCAGTGTTTTTTCATATGTTCCTATCGATTGGGCCTCCGTGTGTGCCTATAGATTGCCCCTCTCCTGTGGCTCCAATCCGAAATGTTTGAAATCTGTTCCTATAGATTGGGCCTCTCCTGGGGCACGAATCCTCCCCACGAGGCCCCAGGAGGCTCCAGGAGGCCACTGGAGGCCCCAAGAGGCCACAGGAGGCCATAGGAGGCCACCAGAAGCGCCAAGAGGCCCCAGGAGCTCCCGAGAGGCTCCAGGGGGCCTCAGGAAGCCCCACAAGGTTTCAGGAGGGCCATGATCATGCGCAGATACGCACTAAGACTACTGAGACTCATTCACACTCCAACTCATTACTCCCAGACCGTCAATACTCAAGCCCGTCTATAATCGAAAACTCTTGAGCCTAGACGCTCACGGCGGTCCGCGATCTCCCATGGGAGCGGGGCCCGTCGCTAATCCACGCCCCAAGGGCGAGTCGAGACAGCGGCAGCTCGAAGCCGGTCGTCCTTGGCCCCCCCCCCCCCCCGCGCCCCCTAGGGCCGTGGCGCACCGGCGGCCCCTCCAGCGGAGGGCCCCCCTCCCCTTGGCGAGGCCTCCTAACACGTGGGGTCCGGGTAGACGGGGCCCCAGGCTCGCGCCGCAGCGCTGACGCATCGGCGGTGCATCGGCGACGCTGGCCTAGAGAGCATCGGGCCCCATATCGGGCCGCATCGCCAGTGCATCGGCGATGCGGCGCGATCCTCCGACCCGATCCGCCCGGACCCCATCTCGGAGGCGTAGATTAGCGCGTGCCCGCCCTCCGTCGAGTGGCAGCCCACGCGGGCAAGCACGGGCGGGTTGTGCTGGAAGGCGTCCCCCAGGCTCACCTGGGGCGTCGCTGCACGGGCTCCGATGCAGACAGAGCGCCGCCCACCCCCCCAGGAGGACGGAGCACGAGAGGGCAAGGGGCGGCAGCGAGAGGAGTGGAAGGGACATGATAAGGGGGAGAGGGAGGAGGAGGGGGAGGAGGAGGGAGGGGGATGGGGGAGGGGGAGAAGGAGGGGGAAGGGGAAGGGGGAGGAGGAGGAGGAGGAGGAGGAAGAGGAGGCGGAGGAGGAGGAGGAGGAGAAAGACGAGGAGGGGCAAATATAAAAACACTCCGTAGCCATTGTGGCTCAAATTCAAACACCACGCTCTGGGTGCTTGAACTTGCCGGCAGCCGAGGAGCAGGACCAAGACCCCACGCCTGGTCGACAGGCGACCATTTCGGCAGCCAAGACGTTTCGAGCGGGGGCAAAACTTGTTCTTGCCCTCCATCTCTTTTCGCCCCAAACTCCAGGTCATTTCTCAGCCCCGGCTCTCAGCAACAGAGACGCCGTTACAGATGGCGCAATGGGCAGCGACTTGGAAGTGGAAGTGCGGGCAGCAGAACTGGCTGAAGGTGACCAATTGCAGCAAATGCGCCATGTATTGGAAGGCCTCAGCTGGACGGGAACCGAGAGGCAAACCAGACAGACAACGCCAGCGTTCCAACAGCCAGAAGAGCGCGGACTCAAGGCCATGGGAGGACGAGGAGAAGATCAGAAGACCGCCTTTCGTCAGAATGGCCACTCCAGCGGAAGCGAATGCCAACCCCAACTACAAGCCTCTCTCGCCCAAGGCAGGCGAGAGCGAGAAGAGGATCTACTGCAAAGAGTCGAGGTCCAAGCCCAACCTGCTCCAGCAGAGATACAAGATCGCCTGGGCCATGCAGAAGCCAGTGCAGGACATCGTCGAACAGATCGCCGTCCTGCGCAGAATGTTGATCTCAGAAAATCATAGGAGCAGCAAGGTGCTTGGACAGAGACTACTCTTGCCAGGATGATGTTACGAGTAGACGCTGCCAACAAGGTAGTGGAGATGCAGCAGAACATCTTGGACAGGAACATTTCAATGAGAGACTATCTCCAGGATCAACTCGAAGCATTGCGTCGAACCAAGGACGAGATCCGAGCCATGAACCAAGAAGACAATAATAAAACATACAAAACTCACGAGCAGGAATTGCACATAGAGATCGACACGAAGCGCATGATCGCGCAGGAACAAATGAAGAACCACACACCGCCAGACGATCAACAAGAAATTCAAAACAGATAGCGTGCCATGTCCAACCGGTGGTCCAACAGATGCCGCAGATGTAACTGATGACGCAGCATATGCACATATCCCAGCAGTCCATGATGCAGCACATACCACAGACGGCGACGTCGGCAACAGCTTCGCCATGCCCTACTACGATAGCAGCCTCATCGCCAGACATGATCCTGACGCCGACAGAGCCGTTCGAGCCAAGGTCAAAGTCCCAATCGCAAACGAATACTGCACCACGGCCAAGCCCGAGGAGAAAGCCCATGATACGGGAGAGGGCGGCCAGATACGAGAACAGTTCGGACGGATCTTATTCGCTGGGAGCACGTTCGGAGCCCAGAAGGAGACCGATGACATCGAGGAGCCCAAGCCCCAGACCACATCGGCAGGTCAGGACTCACACCTCACAGAAGAAGCCGATCAACGATAAGGCCAAACTGAAGACCAACGGCCGCGCCATGGTACCGTTCGGCAGCCGACGGCCCAAGATGAGGCAGGACATGATGGACCAGATAAAGGACGCTAACACCAGCCAGGCTGTCGACATAACGGTCCCCAGCGACAAGGATGCCAAGGATGCCATGCACGATCCGCATGGCGAGTGGAAGACGGTGTGAACCCAGATTATGAGACAGCGCCTGATGCGGGCAGGCAAAAGCAATCATATATGTATATAAACTCTACCGAACCCCCACCGACATCCCATGTCAATGTGCGCTCTTGCGCTAGGCGCAGGCCGCGAGTCGCTTTTAGTGCGGCCGTGCCCTTTCATTTTGTCGAATCCCTTTCCTCGCTTCGGCCGCCCCCTCCTCTCGATGGGGGTTGCGGCTTGCCGAGTCCTGGCTCTAAGGATCGTGCTGACCACGGTCGAGGCCCAGTCATTGTCGACCTCGGTTCTAGAATCCCACCAGCCCTCTGGGCGTAGGCGGTTTAGAACATTTCCTCTTCCACCCCTCCTTCTTCCCCTTTCGGGGAGGGGTTGATCACTGCTCCCCATTAGTATACACCCCTTCCCCCAGGCGACTGGGAGCCAACCCGAGTCCATGAGGCACCCCCCACCACCCCTTGTAAACAAACTATACAAAGCACACTCTACCCCCCACCATCCCTTTGTAACAAACCATACAAACACACACTCTGTCTCCAATTTCAGAGCATGCGCAGCGAACCCGGTGCGGCCTCCCCCACCATTTCTGCCAAAACGCAATCCAAGGTCCACTTGGCGGCGGCGGCTGCTGCGGCGGCTGCTGCGGGGGCAGCGGCTGCGGCGGCTGCGGCGGTGGCGGCGGCGGGGACGGCGGCGGCGGCGGCAGCGGTGGCGGCATCGACTGCGGCGGCAGCGTCTGCGGCGGCTGCGATTTGGCAGCGGGGGCGGCGGCGGCGGCGGCTGCGGCGGGCGGCGCGGTGGGGGCGGCGGCGGCGGACAACGGCGGCGGCGGCGGCGGCGGCGCGGCAGCGGCGGCGGCGGGCGGCGGCGGCGGCGGCTGCGGATTCGCCCCCAGTGGCTGCCCATCCAAAGACGACTGCTGCATATGTTGAGGCTCGGGTCAAGCTTGGGTGCTACGTATGTGTTGGGAGGGCGGGTGGGAATGAACGAAACGGCTTGCGGGCGGGGAAAGCGTCTAGACCCCTCCCCCTACCTACTCCCCTGGACCTGGACAAGGGGTTCCGCGAGTCGTCGGAACGTCCAAACAGGGCCTCGGTGGGGAAAACGCACTCATTGGTTCTACTAGGGTTTTGGCCCCATGTTGGCCTCCTGGGGGGGGCGCTAATTAGACACCCCCCTCCTGTGAACGATCTCGCCCAAGATGGCCCAAAGATGACTCCCAAGGCTCCCAAAGGTGCCTCAAGGGGGCCCAAGAGGTGGCCAGGAAGCTCCAAGAGGCCCCCAGGATGCCCCCAAAAGGCTCCCGAGAGACCCCCAAGAGGACCCAAGAGACCCCCCTGAGGCACCCAATATGCTCCAAGAGGCCTCGGTCAGAATGCCAAATCATTGATTTTATGAAGGTTGTAGCCGCATGTTGGCCTCTTGGGGGGGGGGCACTGGTTAAGATGACTCCAAGAGCGCCTGGGAGAGCCCAAGATGACCTCCAAGATGGCTCAAGATATCCCAAGATGTCTCATACTGGCTTCCTCTGTGTGCTGCCCACTTCCCTGATCGAGGCAATTCCTCTGGGCATCGTCTCTGGATGGGCTGGTGGGGATTCGCGAAGCGTCAACAATTCTATCGTCGTGCCGTTTGTGGGCGACGAGCCCATGACTAACATCACCTGCAAGCTCGGGGGAGAAGGAAGCCTGCTCACGCGCCTAATCAGAGATGGCTGCCAGGTCGTCCTGCACACGGAGGTCGACCAGACAGACCTCCACCCACGCGCTACGCTAGGCCTCGACATGTGCCCAGCCTGCCAGCGCGTGCACGGCCACGTCACAGTTTTCGTTGACGGGTCTTTCGGCAGGAAGAATCCAAGCACGGCGGCCAGGGCGATGGCCGTCATTGCCAAGGACGCGGGGGGAGCTCTCTCTCTCTCTCTCTCTCTCTCTCTCTTGGGTGCTCAAGGGAACATGCTAACATCCGTCGGAGTTCCGCTTGACACTCACAAGTTCACCAGCACCTCTCCAGAGATGGGCGCCATTTTGTGGGCTCTGCTTTGGGTAGGCTTTCAACAGCAATGCTTTGCTTTGAGTTTCACCGTAGAGTCTGACTCTGCCTCCGATCTCCAAATTGCCGAGGGTGCGGCTTTGCCGGAGGCAAACCCAGAGCTTGGCACCCTTTTGCGGGTTTTGGCGCAGGAAGTGCGGGCCAAACACGGACTCAGTTTCAGGCGCGTGCTGTCCCACCAAGCTCACCCATGTGCTGAATTGGTCGACGGCCTCTCGAAGCGTGAGCGAGTCCCGACAGCCGTGCGTGACCCAGACTGGGCTAGACGCTTGACCCCCGCGGTAGGCGATGTCTGGTCCTGGGTTGAGCATGCTGATGATGACCGCCACGCGTGCCCCTCTGTCGCTTGCGAAGAGGGACATGCCAGCTTCATCGCCCCCATCAGGACGCAAGAGACCTCCAGGCCAGAAGATGCCCTCCCAGCCGATGCCCTCGTCGGCTAGTCGGAAGCGCCTCCGACTCTGGCTGGAGGTGCGTTCCTGACCGTTGCCACAGTCAATGCGATGTCTATGGCCGAGAACACAAGGTGAGCCAAGGGGAGACACTGTGCCGATATCGTCCGAAAGCAACTTGCCGATCAGGGGTCCTTGGTGGTCGGGGTCCAGGAAGCTAGGGCCCCTGCGGGGTCTAGAAACACGGACGGGTACTACACTCTGGCCCCGGAGGAGACGGACATAATGTTGGCGTTGAGGCATCTTTCTCGAGAGTGATCCCTTAGATGACCCAGGAGGGCAGAAGCAGGTATTTCCAGAGGAGTCACTTCTCAGTGGCACGTGCTGACGTTCGCAAGATTGTTGTGCGAGTCCGAGCTTCAGGCCTGCATTTCAACTTCACGGTGCTGCATTCTCCATGCCAGGGCGCCCAGAGTCGGATCACCGACGCTGGCGCGGTACAGAGGTGGTGGGGAGAGGCGACAGCTATTGCTCATAGGACGGGGGTGTGGACATAATCGCTGCTGATGCTAATGCCAGACTGGGGAGAGTCACTTCTAGCTCGGTAGGCTCGGGGGGTTGGGCCGAAACTGAGAATGCTCCTTGGACTTGCTTGCGTCAGTTGTTGTGCGGAATGAGCCGCGTCGCACCATCTATCTTCGAAGATGTGTCCTGGGCCCGGCCCGACGCTAAGGAAGGTGTCGCGCGTTCGTCAGGAATGATGCGCGTCATTATCTTGACTAGAATTTTGTTCGACCCCAGCTCGTTCCTGCCATTGCCTACGAACAGGTTCTAGTTGACATAGATGACTCGGCTGCCAGCAGCGACCATACACCTTGTGTGGTAAGAATGACGCGGGAAAACCACGACAACAGGAGAGACCGTGGCGAAGCTGAGGCAGGATCAACTAACATCGGCCATCAAATCAGCAGCAGACCCCACCCTAAGTTTAGCCGGCATCTCACAAGGAACGCCCACAAGGTTGCTATGTTTAGTGCGATGCTCCGTGCCATCCCACTGGCCTCATGGCCGGCTCATGTCAACCACCGCTACAGCCCAGTTCAAGAGCAGATTTTGTTTGCCGCCGCCGCGGCCTTCCCTGCCCACAAGTCCCCTCCCAGGAAGCCTTCAACCGATGCGTTCATTGTGCATATGACTGGGTGGAGAAAGAAAAGCAAGGCCATTTTGACCCCACCGCCCCTGCCAGAAGGCGCAGGCTCTGTTCAATTGAGCCACTGCGTTGATGGTTTCCTGTCGCGCGCTGGATTTTCATCGAATGGGGGGCCTCTGACTTGTGGCAGAGTTTCGAGGCTAAGGTTTGGGAGCTCAAACTTTCGGCGTGGTCCTTCCTCGAGCCCCTTTTGACTTGGAGGGTCGAGTGGCCGCCCGTGGCCTTCTCTCGTTCCGCGGCCAGGTTGCTGAAACAAAAAACTGCATCGTGACAGGTCGGCCCTTCTTGAGAGCATGACCAAGGAGATGGCCGATGCCATCGAGAATTGCGCCCCCCGCCGCGAAGGTCACGTCGTTATCGCCCTTCAAGCCTTGAGGAGGAGGAGGGGGAGAGAACGAACGAACCAACGACTCTGCAGAGGTGCGCCAGCTCGGGTCTCGCCCACAATACCGGCTAAACATGCTCGGAACATTCGGCGGGTTGCCTGACAATCACATCTAGAGTGCGCCATGGCCCCAACATTGAGAGGTCCACGCGTGGCCTCGTGGCACTGAGCTCCCACCCACCCGCTTCCACGGCTGGATTGCCAACGTTTTAAAGACGGCAGGGCCGAAGGGCAGGGGCAAGACTGGGTACAGGGAGAATTCTAAGCACTACCCTCCCGCCAACGTGTAGGGCTGGAAGGAAGGGGGGACCGCCCTAAATCGGGCTCGAAAACTCCCTAAGGCATCGACAAGATTCAGAGCGCAAGAACTCGGACGGCCCCAGGGTCCAAGGGGAAACGCAAAACTTACTTCGGCCTGGGGGCCAGCCCAAGGAGACTTAAGACTCTGCTAAGAGGGAGGTTCTGACTGGAGGAGCGGGAGGAAGAGGACAGATTCGGCGGCCGAGCTGAGGTCATAGAGGAGGGGTCCGCTGAAGTTCTCAACTCGCTCGGTGCAGAAGGAGTAGCCCCAATCGCACTCGCTCTGGCCGCAGTCGAACTCGTAGGTGCAATCTGGGAAGCCGTCGAACCAATCTGAGAACAGACACTCGCTCTCGAGGAAGAAGAGGCCGAGGAAGGAGACGACGGCATACCGTGTCCCGCCCCCAAGGGGGGCGCTGATGCTGCCATCAAAAACCGAGCTGAAATAGCTTGAATGCGAGAAGTTTCCTCCTCCGTCTGCTGCTCCACTGGGGCCTAGACCACCTCTGCCGATGACCGCGCCTGCGCAGCCCTTCTCAAGTTGTCGAGTCCGTCGAGGTGTATCTGCATCACCCTCGCGCCGTGGCTCCTGGGAGGAGCTCCGAGCTGGACTAGGGCGTCGACTGTCACTTGCTCGATCTGCTTCGGCTCTACGGCGAGCCACACCTTCACGAACTCGCCCGAGTGGGTGGTCTGCATGCGACAGTGGGGGCTTTAGTCGGCCAGCTTGAAGTCGTCGGGTTTCTCGTGCTGTATCTGCCGCTCGTAATCCTTCAGGGTTGCGCTGTTGAGCTGGCCTATCTTCTCTCCTAGAGCAAGCAGAGCTCCGAGCAGTGCCAGGAAAACGCGAGGATGAGGAATGCCCAGCTCCTCGAGCTCTGCCACCACCTGGCCTGCCTGGATCTGCTGCGCGCGTTCTTTGCGAAGCCTCGCTGCTTCCTGTCCGTAGAACTTCGCTGTCAACTGCATCGCCGAGACTACCTCGTGCTTGCCCGGCATCTGCACATGCCTGAACGCCGCCGACTCGAGATGATTGATGGAGAGCTCGTGGCGCAACGCGAGGCGCATGAGCACAGGGTAAGTAGCTTGGATCCACTCGATCGGCATGCGTTCGAGTCGCTGCAGATCTGCGGGTGCCAGGCCATAGTGATCATCCGCCAGCGTCAGTACGTCGTGTCCTCCTGGTGGTGCTACGCGCTGACCTGCAGCGCCGCCAGGCTGCGCAGCCGATGCTCCGAGGCCGCCCGCGGCGGGGGCGGCTGCCGAGCGAGCTGCTCCTTGACCCCGACGTCGCCCTGCGCCTCGCTCTCCGCTGCGCGTCCGATCGCCCTGGCCGTGCCTGCCGCGCAGCTCTTGCGCGCGCTGCTCTGTCCCAGTGCTCAGGGCCCGCTCTGCCAAACGCGACATCGAAGCAAAGGTCAGGCGCGGGAGGGGCGCGTGCTTCTCGCATGCGCTGCTGCAGCGCAGCGAGCGTCTGAAATTCACCTTGAGCCCGAACGGCTTCGGTAAGACGCTCACGATGGTGAGAATGAGCGCTGCCAGGATCAACGCGCGCGGGACAGGTCAGGACCTCGGGGGCCTTGAGGGCAGGGGGGTGCGGGCTGAAGTCGGCCAGGCAGCGCTTAAGCCCAAGGGGCTGGACCACGTGCCTCCGAGCGAGAACATCCGAGGAAAACGTCGCGGAACAATAGAAGCACAGGTTGGGCGCAACTAACTGGTGGACGGGCACTCGAACTTTGTGGGCGGGGTGATGACACAGATGGGCCCTAAGAGCGCCACGAGGCTCGAATACCACATTGCAGGGCCCCCCCGTGTCTTTCGGCCACTCGCAGACGCACTCTTGAAGCTCAGGAACAAGGGGGGGGGGGGGGGGGGCGGTGCAGCAGGAGGGCGAAGTGGCTCATTAGACTCTTGCTCCCAGTAGGCCCTGCGGAGGTCCCTTGGGGTCGATGCTGCCAAGCGCGGTGGCGATCCTATAATCGGCAAGGATGTCCCTAATAGAGTGTCCCTGGTCGAGGAAGCGCCTGCCGTGCGGGGCGGCGCGGGGCGTGCGGATATCTTCTTGCATCTGCAATGCCCAAGGGTTCGCACGATGATGTTTCCAACCATTCTCAAGAAACACAGGCCGATCCTGTAGAGCGTGAAAATGACCGAACAGGGCAGCAACTGCCTGCGCCGACGCCTCAGTCAGGGTGGCGCGCAAGGTTCTGCCAATCGCGAATGCGTCTGACCAGCAACTCCGTGCGAGCATCTGCGATGTGCAAGCGCTTCTGGAGCATCCAAGCCTTAGGTGTCCTAACTCTTTCATGTTCACCTCCGCCTACCCTACGAGCGACACCGCGCAGGGCAACCTTAGCGATACCCCAGGATGACCTTGTCGAGCCTGTTGTAGCCATTTTCCCTAAGATGTACGTCTCAAGGCCCGAGTCGGCCGCGCCGTGGATGACCCCCAAGAAGGCCATGCGCTTTAGCTTGGCGGCCGTGTGCTGAATCCAAGACCTACCGAGTTTACGCCAGGCCGAACGGGTCGCATCCACCCGAGCTCTGATCTCGGCCCCGCAGCCCCCCGTGAGTTGTTCGACACTCCCAAGATACTTCGCCTGGGCCTGTGGAACTCCAGGAAACCTCAAGATGGACCCAGACAGGGCGGCCCTCGTCGCAGTGCACCCTCCAGTGCCCACGAAGACGGGGAGGGCCACCTCTTGGTTGGCGTTCTGGGCGAAGCCCCCCTGCTCGGATAACTTGTTATTGGGAAGGGTGGTGGAGGCGGAGGCGGGGGCAGCAGCACGCAACGGGTTGTTATCAGGGAGCGGATGGGTGTGAGAGACATCACCAGCGTAGTCTCTCATGGATAAGTCAATGAGCTGCTTGACGCACGGGCGCTCGATCAGCGTCGACGCCTCGATGAGCGGCACCTCAGTCTCGCCAATCTGCAGAGCGTCCGAGTTGGTGGCCTGCAGCGTGCGGTTCCAGTAACCCAGCGGCCGAACAAACGACCTCACGAACAGCTCGCGCGCATTGCCGTCGCCCATGCCAGCGCCGTGCCGAGGAACATAGTTGGCGGTCTCGTTGCCTGCGCGAACCTCCATCACTGCTCCCTCGTGCCGCTGCGAGAGAAACGGTTGATCCTGAAGGTCGGGGATGATAGCGCCAACAACTTCGGCCAAGGTATCATGACCAGTGGAACGGAAAGCGTTGCTCATGTCCTTCTGTATCTGAAGATGCGACAACGCCCAGCTTCCGAAGCATCCAAGAGTGTAGACGCGATGCGCGCTGAGCGCCCTGGCGAGATCGATGGCGCGCATATCCGTGGGCGTGGCACGGCAACCGGGGCTTCCCGTGACGCGTGAACATGCCCCTGTACCGCGCTTTGCCAACAGGGCAGAAACAGTGGATCAGCCGCGTCGCTTTTGCCCCCAACATGGCATTGCTTTTGGACAGTTGGAACGTTCGAGACTAATGCCACCACGAGGGAGTTCGACACGACATGCGAATCTGGCGAAACAAAGCCAGCAAACGCTCAGCAAGACGAGGACAAGGTACGTCAGGTCGTGGCCGATCTTATCGATCTGGATCCGCTGCAGGTCTGCGACCATCGTCTCCGCGGGCCTCGACGGAGGCCGCTCTCATAATCGCCAGCCAGATCTCACCAGGCGCCGGATGAGACGGTGCAAAGCGACGACGTGCCGCCTTTTCCAAAGCCGCCAGCGTCTGTGTCCAATCTGTGTACGCCGTCGACGACGGATGACCTCGGAGCTGCTTCCAATCGCCATCTGGATCATCCTGCTCACGAAGTGCCAAAGCGAACTCCGAGGGGGTCTCTGGATCAGGGACGACGACAGCTGAGAACCCTCCCTCGCGAACGCCAGCCAGCACAGTGCCGGTCGACTCGTCGAGGGTCGGCAGGTAGCGTGGCAGCGCGTTGAATCGGCGTCGACGGACGCCGTGATATCTTGCGCCAACTTGGAAAGCCAACTTCCACACGATCAGCGGCATGCTGAGCTTCTCGTAACATGCGATCAACACTCTCACGATCGATGCTGCATCTCTCTCGACGTATCTCTCGATCGCACCGACGAATGGCCGCGCGATCCTCTTCAGTGAAGCAGTTGCGGCCCAAGGTGCGACGCTTGAGTAGAAGCTCGTCTCGACGCTGTCGGTGCTCAGCGTTGGGCCCAGTACGCGTTGCAGCTCGACAATCCTCAAGGGCTGACTCCCGAACATCTTGAACCAGGTCATTCCACGTTTCAGACGGGTCGTCCAGTCGAGAGCTGCGTCTCCATGTAGTAGCGTGAGCCTCGCATCGCCTTTCAAGCTCTCCGATCAGCCCCAGTGAGCCTCCGTCGCTAAGCAACTTCGCCATGCAATCGTGATCCCAGCGCGGCTCCTGCTCAGCGTCGGGCACGCCGAATTGCAGCTTGTAGCGTAGCCGCCACAGCAATGGGCAGTGGTCCTTCGGAATTGGAAGCGCATGCGGGATTTTCTGCAAGTCTCTCATTGCTCCTCTCATCGCGCAGCAGGACACCGTAAACGAAATGGCCCCAGTCGGGGCCCAAAAGTGATCAGGATGCGACGTGTGCTCGCTCTCCTGCCCGAAGTAAGTGGGGCCAGTGGCGTAGAACGAGTCCACCACCGCGAGCCCCTCCATGGACATGAGTCGCCATAATTCCTGCCTGGTGAAGTTCTCTGTGCCCGTGTTGTAGGTGCCGAAGTGAACATCATCTGCTGAGTGATGGACTGCACCCCCGCCCGTCGCACGCCTACCGAACTCGCAATTCGAGTCTGCTCCTATCACGACGATGCACCTGGCGGGGGCATTCTGGATGGTCTTTTGAATCCAGCTGGCCAGGCGTGTGACCGTCGATTTCCAATGATCAACCTGCATGCGCTGGGAGGGAAGGAAGTAGGCGACAATAGCGAGAATGTCGAAAGAGCTGCTCCGTAGCCGCACCTCTCCCGCACGCACCGTCAAATCACTCGGCGGCTCGTATATCTGCTGGATGTGGCTGCGTCTGAATACTCTCTTGCGCGGGAACAAGCTGCAGCCCGCCGACATGTTAGTGAATTCGCCTTTTTGCCAGCCGAAGTCCAGCACCATGTGCTTGGCGCTCTGCTGAATCGTGATTCCATCGCCAGGGCGCCGCTTTCTCTGCGTCGCCGGGCACATGATCAACTCTGCAAAGCCAAGCCGAGAAGAAATGTCGAAGGTACGCCATGAATCTGACATCGAGAGTGGATTGTAGAGTACGGTTTGCAACAAAGAGGCCCACATGGTGGGTGGGAGCGGTACGCAGGCGGGGTCTGTCCTGCGTGGGTCAGAAGCAAAGGGCCCGCAAACTTCCTGGTCTGGGCAAAGGGGCTGAGGAGGAGGAGGAGGAGGAGGAGGAGGAGGAGGGAAGTATAGATCATGGCCCCCGCCATGGTATCCCCCCCCCTAATCTTCACCCCCCTCTTGGCCGCCCCCGATCCCTGGAGGTCTCGACCCCTTCCCTGGGATTGGCCTCTCTCATCCCGAGTCGTCTTTTGACGGTCGCAGGCCCCGGCGTGTTTTTTCTTTTTTGTTCCATCAGGGGCGCGAGGATTTGGCGGTGCGCACCAGGGGGTGGAGGGAGGGGGGAGGGCTTCTTAGAAGGAGGCTGCTTCTTAGAAGGCGCCGGCCTTACATCTACAGAAAACGCCCGCGCATTTTAAGAAGCAGGGGTGCTTCTAAGAAGCCCTCCCCCCCTCCCCCCACTCCCCTCTGCGCGTGGCTGAAGGATGTCAGGGTCACCATGTCCTCGAACCAGAAGCCCTCGATGGCGGAGCCCTCCGTGTACCCTTGGTAGTAGGTGCACTTCTCGTCCTTGCAGCTGGAGTGGCAGTCCGCTCCGCAGGGCACCCACCGCGCCTGGGAGCGCGAGAGCATGCCCACTGCGCCTCGGCACCTCATTCCTCGCACAGTGCTTTGCAGTGCGGGGCTTGTATTAAGGAATTGGACGGGTCTGGCGAGGACTCGCATCGTTCCCGTCCGTTGCCGGCCGTTGCAGCCTCGTTGCCGTCCTTTTCCGCTGGTTGGGCAGGGGTCTGGCGAGGATTCGCCGCGTTCCCGCCCGTTGCCGCCTCGCTGCCATGCGCTGCATGCATTACACATAGTACCACATCGATTGCATATCGAGGGTGCAAGAAGTCGCTGAGAGGGGTCCACGCTGGCAATCACTGTACGTTGCACCGACGCTGACCGAAACGATCGCCGATTCGGAGCGCTCCCGCCGACAACAAGATGCTCATACAGGCAAAGCGTGCACGACGGAAACAGGAAGGGCGACGAGAGGCGGAGAAGTGGAGAAGCCTGCAGTAGGATAGCGGGGCGCACAGCGGCAAGGTTTACGAACACTTCCATCTCCTGACCGAATCCTCCACCTCGGCACTTCCTCCCCCTCCTCCTCGTCCTCCTCCCCGCGCCAACTCCAATTGGGACGATGCTCGGCCGCGCTCTTTCTGCATGGCCGGGGAGGTGAACCCCCAGAATGGGCCGAGCCGGCTGTCCCAGCCCCAGAGGAGCTGCCCCCAGCTCGGGGGCCGATCACCACACTGCACTACACTGCACGTCCAGGGAGGGAGGCTTGCACGGGGAGAGGAAGGGGAAGGGGTGCACGATGAGCACGGGCACAGTCTCGGGGAGACGTAAGACTCGGGTTTGGGGGACTCGGGTTGGCCTGACGGGGCCGTCCAGAAAATGGCGAGACCCAATCTGAAATCTGACGCGAGCTCCCGCTGCAATCATCCCACGAAAGTCCGACCGTCGAAATTCAGGACGGGCTCGTCAAAAAGTGTCGGCTAAGAGTTCCGGCACACTCGAGTCTCACGCTTCCCCGACAGTATGGGAGTCCTCTTTGACGCTTGCCCACCCCCCCCGTGCCGTCGACGTCTCGGAGAAGTTGAACGCGGGGTCTATGTGCTCGCCGCAGTGCGAGCAACGCGCGCATGGGAACGCGGTGACCTGCGGGCCCAGCCGGCTGATGAACAATCAGCGCCTCCGTGGCACCTCCCCCTGGGCCCCCTGCCCTCCCGCCGTGCTCCTCCTGCTTCTCCTCCTCTTCCTCCTCCTCCTCCTAGTTCCCGTGCATTTTTCGGTTTCGTGCGTGTTTGTTTTGCTCGATGGTCCAGGATGGTCCTCGATGGTTCTCGCCGGGAAAAAATGCACACGTCCGAGCGATGCCAGGTATGTGGACGCCCGAAATGGGTACGGAAAGAATGGGCACAATGCCCAACAACGAATTTGTCCTAAATCAACAGCGGCCGCTGTTGTGCAGGCGGCCTTCTGTCTCAAATGGACGCAGGCCGCGGCGACACCGACAACGAGCCCTGTTCAAAATGAACAGGAACTGCTGTTGGGCATTGTACCCATTCTTTCCGTACCGATTTCGTTCGTGCCGATGCTACCCCTATCCTTCCTTGGCTCCTTCTTTCCCGGGCACTCTTCCTCCATTCCTTTTCCTTATGAATAACTCCTCCATGTCGCACCCCGAACCCAGTCGGAAGGGCGGGCCGGGCGTTTCGCCTGGGCCTTCCTCACCATGCATGAGCCTGAAGCTGAAACACTGGCAACAGCTCCACCACTGGAAGGCGGGCCGCTTCCAAAATGTGGCCCTCGCCTCCATTCGGGAGACTCTCCATGGGGGGGGATCCCATGGGGGGGTAGGAGGGGATCCCCCCCATGGGACCCCCTCCTGCCCCCCCCTGGGATCCCCAGGGGATCCTATGGGATCCCCCCCCTGGGATCCTATCCCCCCATGGGATCCCCCCCCATGAAGAGTCTCCCGATCCATGCCGCGCACACTCGATTTCAGATGCCACCGGTCTCCCTCTGCACACGCCGTCGGCCGCCGCGCGCGCGCGCGCGCGCGTGCGCCGACGCGCGCGGGCACCACCGCCGCGCGGGCCCGCCGCGCGGGCCCAGAGCCCAGGAGCTGGCGCGGCCCGGCCCTCCGAACTGGCTGGCTGCGGCGCTCCACGGCGAGGAGCTCTCGCCACTGCTGCCGGCTTTTTCGGCATCCACGGCCGCAGGCCCCCCGGATGGTCGGCAGGTCGTCTCGAGATCGGCAGTGGCCCCAACTCCCTTGCAGTCGGGGTGGAGACCTTCTGAGGGGCAGCGATGGGCGGGACTGGCACAAGGGGGGGATGCACCGACCTGGAATCGGCGATACATCGCCATCAGATCGACGATAGAGGCCTGCGACCGTGAATCCGCACCATCCTGGGCAGGCCAGGGCTATCGGGCCCCGATCGGTGATCAATGGGCGTTCGGGGATCGATGCATCCCCCCCTGTGCCCATCCCCTCCCCTATCGTTGCCCCTGACCGTTGCGCAATCCAGTCCACGATGCACTTCGAGCAGGCGGCCTGCCCAGGCATTGTGCTAACGCCACTGCTACCGGGCCTCTGCCGAGCGCCGTCGAGCACAGCCCCGACGCAGCAGCCGCGGGCGCGCCGGCGGGGCTGGCCGCGCCGCCCGCTCGGGGAGCGAGCCGTCCCCCCTGAGCCGCTCGCTCCGTCCGCCCCTCTTTCGGCCGTACCCTCCACCCGCTCCTCCTCCTGCCTGCTGGCACAGCTCGTCCTCACGGCATCGGCATCCCCGCTTGGGCATCCCATCGCCTGGCCGCCGACGCGACACAAAAAGGGCGTCTTCGCGTGAGGCCCGCCGAGGTGGGGGCCGCGTGCAGGCCGCGAGCCCGGCGTAGTCGGCGCCAGCGCCCGCAGGCAGCTCGCCACTGGAGCGAGCGGCGGCGCCGCCGCCCCGCGGCGCCCAGGTGCACGCGCCGGGCGCCCGCGGGCGCTGCCCACGGGGGCCCTCGGCGGCGCGAGCCGACCCTGGGATCCGACGTGGCCAAGGAGCTGCCACAGCGTGAGGCATCACGCCCGGAGCCCCAGAGACCCCGCCTGCCCCGAGGCCCGGGATCGAGCCGCGAGGGCCCCGAGAGGCCCGGCGACGAGCGCGAGCGCGCCGAGCTCGAAACCATATCGAGACGCCAGGATCTCCGGGCGGGCCGAGCTGGCCGCGCGGGCGGCGGCGCGCGTCGCGCGCGTGGGGGCCGCCCGCGCGTCGCGCGCGGGAGGGGAGCGGCGCCCACGCCCGGGCCCCCTGGCGCCCCATGGTTGCGCGCGGGGGGCCCGTGTGCCCGCCGAGGGCGCGGTGGCGCCCGCGCCGGGGCGCTCGGCCGGCCTGTGGGCCGCGCCCGGCGGGGAGGCATCGACCACGTGCAGTCGGAGCTGGGACAGAGGAGCACCCTCCGACAACGTGAGGCCCTCCGCTGGCCCGAGCTGAGGGGCATCCGAGGGCGCCGGCCTCCCCCAGGGTGCTCAAGAACGTCCAACAGACACGAAGGCCATCAGGGTACCCTCCCCGAGACGACCTCGATCTTCTACCTCGGTCCGCCCGTATGGCAAATCCTCCCCCTCCTCCTCCCGGCCACCTCCTCCCGGCCACCTCCTTCTCATCCGTCCCGTCCCGATGGGGAGGCACTGATACGGTTAGGTCGGGCCAGTCCCCCTACAGGGGGATTATGAACGACAAATAGCAAATACTCAACAAATATTCAAAAGATGCCCCAAAATACAAAAAAATAGTCCCCAGACTATTCCTGGACTATTTTTGAATATCCCCCCTGTAGAGGGACAGGCCCGACGTAATGATGCGGGCCAGCCAGCGCTCGACCTCGCACGACCGGGAGGCGTGGCCCCTGGACGCCAAGGCAGGACCCCTGGGCGTCCAAGGCTGCCTCGGGCCGGGCCGAGGAGCCGAGGTCCATGATGCAGCGGCAACCCTCGCCGGAGGGCTCCGCTCTTGATCTGCTACGGGGTCGCAGCGCGCACGAACGAGGCCTGATCGGGGCGCCGCTGCTGCCGTCAAGGCGGCCCAGACAGAATTCTGAAGCCTCCGAGATACCCAGACAACCTCCGAACCCCTACCAATAACGAAACATACTCAGGTGCACTCGATCCAAAGGCAAGCCCAGAAATCAGACGGTTGTGTCCGTGACATCGGCTTCCAAACCTGTTCACCCCATCGCGCGGACCTGATTTTCTCTCGCAACGGTCTGGGGCTCGGGAAATCCGGATCAACGCAACAAAAATCACGGCCGCGACTCTTGCTCGTGGCGCCAGACTCAAAGATCCGATGCCGTGATTTTGTTCCATGCGGGGCCCCTGGAAATCCCGACCCGTTCCCTGAGACCGTAGTCATGCTTTGAGGGCTCCTGGGGGCGTGGCGAGGGCCTCGAGGGGCCAAGAGCTGCGAACCTTCTTGTCTTTGCCAGATGTGCCGAATCTCTTGGGGGTAACTGGGCTCAGTCCCGAAGCGGCGACAGGTGGGTGGCGGCGGTTCTCGAGGCCCCGGGCGGCTCCGCTGCCGGTGTCCAGGATCACGGAGGCCCTCTGGGGTGGCGTGCCCACGAGGATGTCCACGTAGAAATAGGCGAAGCTGTCGATGTTTCCGTAGATGCGGCAGGCCTCTACCTGGAGGCGCAGGAGACGTAGAGTCGGGGCGTTGACCTGAAGAACCCTAAATAAGGAACGGGGGCCCTTTTTTTCCAAACGTCAAACTTCGATTTACCATTGGAAACCTAAGGAAAACCCACGGCAAACTGTAAAACAATCAAGGAACACCGAGCCCCTCCCCAACGAACAGGGTTCCTTCCTCAGCGCCCCGGCTGTAGTCTCACCAGCCCTCTGGGCGTAGGTGGTCTCACTCGTTTCCTCCTCCCTCTCTGACTGCAAATCGGAAGCCCTGTCCCTACCCTCTCACCCAGGACGCCCTGCGAAGACCCTGCACTGTGAAATGCCCTGCAACGCCCGCCCTGCAAAGGCCCCTGCAATTTCCTGCAACACGATCCTGCAACACCCTGCAAACCGACCCCTGCGATATCCTGCAAACGCACTGCAAAACAAAGCCCTGCGATTTTTTGCAGCACGACCCTGCAACACCCTGCAAACGGACCCCTGCGATATCCTGCGAACACCCTGCAACGGCCCTGCTCTACCCTGCAATGCCCTGTCAACCCTTGGAACTCCTTGCGAGCTTCTGCCATGACCAAGAAAAATCCCGCTTCGGTTGGAGAAACACCTCAAGGAGGCACGGGTGGCACGAGCAAAACCCCTAACACGACCCATCATAGCCGCCGTGGCATGGGAACACGTAGCAACACATTCAACGCATGTTCTCTTTTTGCGGTCTCGCCACGCTTCCAATGCGGCTGGTCCACGGCATGCTATCACACTTCTTTGACCACGGCAGCGCGCCTGGGCATCATTTTGGGATGGATCCGGTGTTCCACCAACCCTTCTAGGCGGCTGTTCCACTTCATGCTCCTACTCTCCCCTCATCAATGCCACTCGCATGTGTGGATACTTTTTCGGTCGCGGCCGCAAGACGACGGTCAGGCGGCGAGAGCAAAGTCCAGGACGCGAGCTAGGCGAAGTAGCAAAGACAGGCGCAGGCCAGCCGGCCCACTCAGACAGTCGATGTGAGCTGACGGGTGGAGCTGAACTGAACGGCGCACTGCAAGCTCGGGCACGTGCGTAGGACAAAATGTCACGGAATTCTCTCAGCCAAGCCACAACCCGCACGCAGGGGACTCGGACCATGGTGGGCAAGTCGTACTTGGGGATGACGTGATGGCCATTGGAGTGAGTCGCCGATGTGGCGCCAGGCTCCGAGCGGACGACCTGGGCTAGCCAGACAGGCTGAGCGGTCGTGAGCCGTAGTGCAACGCAACGGGGGAGGCTGAAGGTGGGCCTGTAGGACTGCACCTGCTGCGGAAGGCTGAACCATTCTGCACCATGGCCAGCCCCAGTCAGACCACGTCACAGTGCCAGGGGGTAGCCGAGCATCTGTGAACCATCCCTGGCGTGCCGGCAAGGCAAGGCCACTGAGTGGAGGGGAAACCCGCCGGCGTGGTGAGCATCGCCAGCGAGGAAGGACAGATGGAGTGCACTGGAAGTGGTGGTGCCGTGGCGGCGAACCGTACCAGAGCAGGTGGGACCCCAAGAGAACAGGGCTGTACCTCACGGGGCACGTGGTGCCGGTACGGGCAGGTGTGCTGTTGTCTCAGGGCGGTGTGCTTGGGGGGGCTGCACAATGGAAGAAAGAGGGCCGCCGGACGCGAAGTCATGCAAAGCCCGCCGCTGGGACTTCCACCCAGGCCCCTGGAACGTCAACGAACACCACGTGGTCCTCCAGGGTCGCAGTTGACCGCCGCTGGGAGTGAAAAGACAGTTCACGTACAGCGATGGGCGTGGGCGACCCAGGGAGGGGGGGCGAAACCACCAACGTCGGACAGTACGTCGGCGGGCCCCGGGGCCAAGAGCGGGGGACATCCGCCTGGCCCCTGAGGAGAGAGACGGGGGGGACGCCGCCCCTTTCCTCGGTCAGGCCCCGCACCCGTGGGACAGGCCAAGTGGTTGTTATCTCCAGGGTCGCATGTGTGGATACGCGAAGCGTCAAGAATCAGGAGTTTGACGAAGGCTGTAGGTGTATGTAGACTGTTTCTTTGCCCCCTGGTGATGGCGGGGATGACCAGGGGGGGGGAAGGCAGGGGATGGGGTGGGGAGGGAGCCGGTGACGTCACGTTTCGCACCAGCGCCGTCTGGGAATGCCTGCGCAGGGATGGCTAAGTCGATGTCTCCACAGATGCGGCACGCCTCTGCCTTCTGCCTGGAGGCGTACTGGAGGCGGTCGGCGCAGCGCGGAGGAGGGGGGGACCAGGAAACGCGGACGAGGAGGACCAGAGCAGACCCAGGATGTCACAACGATGCTGCAGTACGCCCCCATACCCCAAGAGCCCCCTCCCAGCACATCCGTACAGGCGCTACTCTTCACTGCCTGCGGGAGGCGCCCTCGCGAGATTCAAGCGCCCCCTGGGCACGCAAGTCTGGCGAGCAGCGAAACGCGCACGCACGTCGCCTCGATTGCAAACCCGACTGCGACCACCTGGAACACTACCCCCACATCCCGTCTGACATGCAGACCCCTCCGACAACACGCGCCACGCGACGCGCCCGACGTGCACGCAGCGCAGAACATCCCAGGCGCGCGCTGGCGCCTCATTATGGAGACCCTCCGTACCCGTTCAACGCAGACCCGTGAAGGGCCTGCATGCTTCAGCGTGGGCGCGCTGGCCCATGGCTTTTTTCCATGGCGCCCGCCCGTCTAGCTTCAGGTCGAGCATGGCCCCCCTACAGGTGGATTTTGGACGAGATATAAGGATACCCCAAGCCTGCACCAGAAATGATCAAAACTGGTCAACGAAATCGTCCCCAGACTATGTTTTGACTAGTTTTGAATATTCCCCCTGTATCGGGGTCGGCCAAGAGGGGAGCGTCCAAGAGTGGGGGGGCGCAAATCATGACCGGCGGCATGTGCACGGCCCAGCGGGGGGGCCAGGGACGTAATGGAAAAAGAAGAGGCGCCATGACATCTGTGGAAACATCATGGCCCCCGCCATGATCTCCCCCCCCCGGTCATCACCCCCCTCTTTGCCGCCCCCGACTGTAGAGGGACAGGCCCGCCTGAATTTTTGGACGCTCGAAATGGGCACGGAAAGAATGGGCACAATGCCCAACGACAAATGTTGTCCCAAACCAGCAGCGGCCGCTGTTGGGCAGGCGGCCTTCTGTCTCAAATGGACACAGGCCGCGGCGTCGCGGACGGCGAGTCCTGTTCGAAATGAACAGGAACTGCTCTTGGGCATTGTACCCATTCTTTCCGTACTCCAGATTTCGTAATAGAGGGGGGGGGGTCTCATTTCGGGGGGGGGTCTCTTCCAGGCTATCTTGGAGGGCCTGGGGGGGTCTGGGGACGATGTTTTGGAGGGTTCTCCCACGAGGGCGGGTCTGAAATGGCTTGTCTTGGAGGGTCCAGACCCCCTCCCTTTTATTACGAAATCTGGAGTACCCATTTCGGGCGTCCAAAGACTAATTCCAGCTGGACGACGTGCGAGGGAATCTGCCCGTGCGGTCTATGAACGCTCCCGCGAGCCGCCCTCGCTCTGTCCCGTGGAGCCACCCCTCCCCCCGTGGAGCTGCTGCACGGCGTCTCCCCCCCCTGGCCGTGCAGCACACCACGCGGCACGCGCGCCCCAGCTCAGGGCTGAACCTAAGCGGTGTTTTTCGTTTTGTTTTGTTTTGTTTTGTTTTCGTTTTCGTTTTGTTTTCGTTTTCTTTTTGTTTTCGTTTTCCTTTGAACGCTCTCACGAGCCGCCCTCGCTCTCCTTCGCTTTTTCGTTTTGTTTTCGTTTTCGTTTTGTTTTCGTTTTCCCTCGCTGTTGTCTCAAAGCCGCCTTCACCGCAAAGCGAAGTGAGAACGAAGACGGCCCACGACATCGCCAAAACACCGTTTAGGTCCAGCCCTGTCACGTGGCACGCGCGCCCTGGCTCCTCCACGGGGGAGCGGCAAAGGACGAGAGGCGCCTGGCGAGCAGGGGGCTACTGTCCATCGCTCGGACGTCCATTCCCTGTGTTTTTTTCGGTTTCGTGCGTGGTCTTGTTTGCCAAATGATCAAGGATGCTCCTCGATGGTCCTCGCGGAAGGAAAAATGCACACGTCCGAGCGATGCCAAGGCTACGGCAGGTTCGTGTCGCGTCGACTCGGGCGCTGGTTCCCGAAACCGCGGGGATCGTTCAGCCTCGAACGATCGGTCGCTTCCGGAACGTCCAAAGCGTTCCACATCGAACGATTCTGGGTCCCCCGCGGCGTTCAAACTTGAACGCCGCTGGCGGGGTCGCCGCTGGCCGACACGACACGAACCTACCCTACCCCGTGGCCGGGAAACCGCCGAGAGCCGACCGCCGGGGCAGCCCGAGGGCTGCGCGCCGGGCCGCTGCCCCCTGGGCGGCCCGAGGTGAGGAGGAGGAGGAGGAGGAGGAGGAGGAGGAGGAGGAGGAGGAGGAGGAGGAGGAGGAGGAGGAGGAGCAGGAGAGGAGGAGGAGGAGGAGGAGGAGGAGGAGGAGGAGGAGGAGGGGGGGCCGCGAGGGCTCCCCGGCCCGCGCAGGCCCAGGGCCCACCTGCAGGCTCGCGTTGTAGACGGTGCGCCCCCGGCCCAGCAGCAGCCCCAGCGCGGCCGCGAGCGCCCCCGGCGACCGAGGCAGCGGAGGCCCCCGCCGCCGCGCCATCGCCGGAGCCCGGGCGCAGGCGAGGCCACGGGGCCCGCGGGCGCCCCCCCCCCCGGCTGAGGCAGTGTGTCCGAGCGAGAATCGGCCCTCCTTCTCCTTCGTCGATCCTCCTCCTCCTCCTCCTCCTCCTCCTCCTCCCTCCTCCTCCTCCTCGATCCTCCTCTCCTCCTCTCCTCCTCCTCCTCCTCCTCCTCCTCCTCGTCGATCCCTCCTCCTCCTCCTCCTCTCCTCCTCCTCCTCCTCTCTCCTCCTCCTCCTCCTCCTCCCTCGAATCCTCCTCGCTGACCCCTGACTCGTCGTAGTGCCAGATCCGTGCTTGCTCACCGGTCCTCGTCTCGCCCGCTCGAGGCCTCCACCCCTCCTCCTCTCCCCCCTCCTCCTCCTCCTCCTCCTCCTCCTCCTCCTCCTCCTCCTTCTCCTTCTCCTCTTCCACATCCGCCGCCGCCTCCGCCTCCTCCTCCTCCTCCTCATGGCTACTCCCGCTGGCCCTCGCAAACCCCCGTCCACCTTCTCCTCCTGCTCCTCCGCGCCCACCCGCTCCTCGTCCTCTCTCTTCCCTTCCACGGCTCTGCGCTAAGAACTCGGAGCCCTTTCCTTTCGTCGCCGCTTGTCGCCCGCGGTGCCTCCTCCTCCCTCCTCCCCCCTCCCTCCTCCCTCCTCCCTCCCTCCCTCACTCCTCCCTCCCTCCCTTCCTCCTCCCTCCTCCCTCCTCCCTCCCTCCACCCCCTGGCCCAGGGCCTCTTAGCCCCTCGCCCCCTGGCCTGGAGCCTCGGGGCGGCGGCCCCGGGCCAAGAAAGCCCCAGGCCCCCCCCGACCTGGAGCCCTTCGCTCCTCGCCGCCCTACGCGGCCCGCTGGCCCGCCGCGACGCCTCCGGGCCCGTCGCTTCGGGCCCGCCCTGCCAGCGCTTCTTCCTCTGCGGCCCCCCCCGGCCTCGAGCCTCGGGCCGCCCTGGCCGAGAGGCTCTCCCTCTACCTCGGTTCCTTGGCCCGGAGCCTCGGGGCCCCAGGAGCCTCGGATGTTCCGCCTGGCTGGCCGAGGCCTGGGGCCTGGGGGACCCTGGCCCACGAGCCCGCAGTCATTCGGTCTGGAGCTCTTCACTATCTTGCTCTGCTGTGTCCTGGAGCTCGGAACACTCTGATGTTTGTCGTCGTCGACGTCGACGTCGTCAGTCGTCTTTGTCAACCATCCTGGCCATCTCGGGCCTCCCTGACCCTACATCCTCCATGGTGGCCCTGACAAGCCTGAAGAGACCCCAATATAGCCCCAAGAGGCCCTGAGAGAGCCGTAAGAGAGGCCAAGGTGGCCCGAATGAGCTTCAAGATGGCTAACAAAAGCTGCCACTTGTTTGCCACCTCGTCCTCCTCCGCCTCCGCCTCCTCCCTCCTCCCTCCCCCTACATGTCCACCACTCCCCCTCATCTTGCTCCTTCTCTTCCTCATCTACGTCCTCGTCCCGACTGCCCTACACCCCTCCGTCATCCTCCTGATGCTGCCTCTCCACCTCCTAACCATTTCACCACCATTATGAGAAAACCATCGCCAACACTGCTACCATCACCATCACCGTCACCATCACCACCACCATCACCGTCACTATCACCATCATCATCATCACCATCATCACCATCACCATCAACATTATCAACACCATCATCGCCATCATACTCTTCATCATCAACATCGTCGTCAGACCCATCGCATCGTCATCACCATCATCACAATCAGGATAACCGTCATCACCACCATCACCATCACCACCACCATTACAATGGCCATCCGCATTATCGTAGTCGCTATCACCAACACGACCACCACAGTCATCATTCGCGTCATCGCCAACGCCAGCACCGTCATCATCATCAGCAACACCATACCATCCTCACAACCATCGACGCCGCCATCAGCATCACCACCATTACCATACCCATCACCATCAAGATACACATCATCTTTGGTTTGTCGTCGTCACCATGATCATGTTCAGCAACATCATACGCGTCATCATCATAGCATCATTCGCACTGCCATCATCACCATCACCACCATACTCATCACTATCACAAGCACCACCATCTCCCAAACCACCACCATCATAGAAAGTATCATCACCACCACCATATTATCAAAACAACCATGACCGTAATCACCATCACTATCATCATCATGTCTTCATTACCATCATCAACGTCAACAACCTCATTATCAATATCCATACCCGTTTCAGCATCAACATCGGTACCGTTATAAGTATCAGTATCGTGATCATTACCATCAACATCATCATCACCATTACCATCACCATCACCATCATCATCATCATCATCATCATCAGCAGCATCATCATCATGATGATCATCATCATCATCACCAACATTGGCATCAACATCAACAACGATGTTATCACCACCATCATCATCACCATCACCATCACCAACATCATCAGCATCAGCATCAGCATCAGCATCAGCATCAGCATCAGCATCAGCATCAGCATCAGCATCAGCATCAGCATCAGCGTCAGCGTCAGCATCATCATCATCATCATCATCATCATCATCATCATCATCATCATCATGGTCGTCGTCATCATCATCATACTCATTTCTTCTCCCTTGCCTCCCTCGCCACGCGCGCTAGGGGGAGAAGGTGAGGGGAGGAGAGGGGACGAGGGGTGAAAAAAGGAGGAGGAGGAGGAGGAGGGAGAGGGAATGGAGGAAGAGGGAGGGAGGGGGAGGAGAGGTGGAGGAAGTGGAGGGAGGGACGGATGGAGAGAAAGCCAGATGACGGAATGCAAGAACGACCGGAGCGCACCTAGCGGAAGGAGCACAGGAGTGCGAAGAGGATCGGGAGGCGGAGGAGGTGAAGGACATCGAGGGGAGAGGAGGGGAGCGAGGAGGAGTTGCTCGGCGCGCGGGCCGTGACGCAGCGAGCGCTGGCTACGCGCGCGCCCGCGGCATACGCGGGCACTCCCAAAAGGCGCGCTCGTGACAGAGACGGCCTTCGCTCAGGGGAGGCAACAGAAGGGCGGGCGCGCTCCTCCTTTGGTTTCCGGCCGCAAGTGTGGCGGGCGAGCGCTGTCTGTGTTTCGACCCCACTGCCAACAACTCGATCTTGCAACGTCTCTGCCGACCTCACTGATGACCTCACTATCCATCTACCCATCTCACGATGTACTGGTCACGACCTGACGGCCAATCTACAGATCAGCCTCTCTATCACTGGTCTCTCTCTCTCTCTCTCTCTTTTTCTCTCAGTCTCTCTCTCTCTCTCTCTGTTTGTTCTCTCTCTTGCTCGCTCGCGCCGCAAGACACCCTTTACCTGCCCCCGTGCCTGGACCAGGCAAGTAAAGATCACTTTGTGTTTGCCTCGTAATGTCCGTCGGCTGCCTTCGACCACGGCGTGGATCCGCGCGGCTGTTGTGAAACAAGTACCTGCCCACCACAGGCCTCAGGCACCAATTCGACGTTGCATTACAGCTTCACGTTCGACTTGCATTGCGACGAGCATCGGATCGCCACAATATCTGAATTCCGAAAACAATTTCACTGTTTCCATCAAGGCTTGTGGGTCGAATTGCGTGTCGGTTTGTACTTCGATTTGGAGTCAGATGCGCATGTATGTGTACATGTCAATGAGCAAGTGGATGTTGATGTCAATGTGTGTTTCGCTGAGCAGATCGAGTAAATCCATTTCGCGTTGCACTTTCGTTGCGCTTGGATTCGCATTCCTGTGAATTTCGCATGCGATTCGGTTCACGACTCTAACGATAGCTTGATCTTTGATTTGATGCATGTCTCGATTTGCGTTTCGACATGCACTTCACTTCCCATTTTCGATTTGCGTTTGGACCATTTTTGGATTGCAGTGGGGTTACGACGCGATGGCCATGGGACACCCCGCAGAATAACCCATGGGACACCCCGCGGGACAGCCTGGGGAACACACCGAGGGACAACCTCTCCGGGAACACCTCGAACACACAACCCACACGACCATCCTTGGGACGGCCACGGCGAGGCAGCGCGCAACCAGGAGGGGAAGCTTGCTATAAGATCGGGGATCTACTGATCGGGAGCGGCCAAGAGGGGGGCGTCCAAGAGGGGTGTGTGTGTGTAAATCATGGCCCGAGGCATGTGCGCGGCCCATCGGTGGGCCAGGGAACGCAATGAAATAAGAAGAAGAAGAAGAAGAAGAAGAAGAAGAAGAAGAAGAAGAAGAAGAAGAAGAAGAAAAAGAAGAATATTAATAATAATAATAAGAAGAAGAAGAATAATAATAATCATAAGAAGAATAATAATAATAAGAAGAAGAAGAAACGGCATGACATCTGCGGAAATATCATGTCCCACGCCATGATATCCACCACCCCCTAATCATCACCCCCCTCTTGGCCGCCCCCGAACTGACCCGGGTGAATCCAGACCCGGGTCAGTCAGGCATTGCAGGATCCTGCAAGATCCTGCAAGATCCTGCGCCCAAGCCCGGGTCATCGCAACACCAGCCCTGCAGGATCCAGCAGGACCACGCGCGCTCTGACTTATACCCCCGTTCGCACTGACCCCGCCTCTCGAGCCCCGACGGTGCTGAGCACCTCTTCCTCTGGCGCCCAGGGCTCGTCGTCGTCCTAGTCGTCGTCGTCCTCCTCCTCCTCCTCCTCCTCCTCCTCCTCCTCCTCTAGAAGAATATAAAGCCATATAAGCATCAACTTCTGGCGCTCCGCGCGGGTTTCTTGGATTTGCGCTGGACACCCCTCCCTGCGCGGAGCGCGCCGGGGGGCGGCGTCGGAGGCGCCGCCAGGCGGCCCAGGCGCGGATCCAAGAAATCCACGCGGAGCGCCAAGAGTTTATGAATATGTGGTTTGTTCTTCTTCGATCCTCGTCGTCGGCGAACTTGCCGTCGCTCGGACGTCCATTTCTCGTGCATTTTTCGGTCTCGTGCGTGCTTTTTTTTGCTCGATGGTCCAGGATGCTCCTCCAGGGTCCTCGCCGAGAAAAAAATGC